AAAAAAATATAGGTTAACATCTTTCTGACTTTGAGGTAGGGAAGCATTTATAAAAGACATAATAAAGCTTCTAACCATAAAAGAAAAGCTCAACAAATCTGATTACATTAAAATTAAGATCTGAACACCAAAAGATATCTTACAAAAAGAAAAGAGAGAAGGTACCGACTGAAAGAGGGTATTTGCAACATAATTAACCAACAAAGGATTAATAGTGAGATTAGATGGCAGTCTCCTCAAATCGATAAGGAAATGATAAACAGTCCAATAGAAAATGGGCAAGAAAGACAAACAGGAATGTAGCAGAGAGGAAAACACAGATGATCAATAAAATCATTATGAGAAAGTCAATTTCATTATTTACTGGGGAAGGCATATTAAAATCACAGTGATATATCAATTTACACCCATTCCGTGGGCAACAATTAAGAAGTGGGAGAAGGCAAATTATTGAAGAGAATGAGAATTAACGAGGTGTCTCATACAAACTCTTGGGAGTATAAATGGGCACAACCACTCTGCAAAGTTTTTCATTATCTACTGTTGAACATATCCTATAACTCAGCAATTCTACCTGCAGGTATATACCCAAGAAAAACTCTATGTGCAATAGGAGACATAAAGCAAGACTCTTCCCCCAGCACCTACTGCACTCTTAGTGTTGGCAAGATAAATACCTGAAGCATCCCAAATACATTTATCGATAGAAAATAGATAAATAAATTGTGGTAATTGCTCACAATGGCATATTATACAGTAAAATAAATAGCTATATGCAAAAATACAAATAATCTGAGCAATACAATCTCTTTAAAAAAGGAAGTTCCCAAGGATTTTATAGAGCATAATACACTTTTATAATGTTGAAAACAAAGAAAATTGAACAATGTAATTATTAGGAATACAAATATATGATAAAGCTATAATTTCAAAAACCAATTATAATAATAATAACTGCAAGATTCAAGGAAGGGGAAATAGAGGGCTAGATTGGGGAGAAGCCCGTGGGTGGGTGTAAATGATTGTTAATGTTCTAATTCTTGTATTGCGTGGTTGGTTCACATGTGTTTATATGATTAATAATAATAAATACATAAATAAGGGCACAGTATATATAAATAAAAACAAAAGAGGGCCATGCTTAGACCAGGGATGAGTGTTACAAATGAAAGATAATCCGATTCTGTGCACTTGAGTGGAAAAACAAGAATGATAACTCCCCCATTATGTTTTCCTCTTATCATTAGTTATCACTTAATCCACTCAGCAATCCTATTTTTCGTTACTACTGTGATCTCCTTTTTCCAGATGAAATCAGATCGTAGTGAGTTAACATAACTTGCTTGAATCCACAAAGCTGGCACATGGTAGATCCCAGAGTTTGAAGTCTCATCTGTTTGATTCTAGGGCTGACCCCTTAACCACTGGGTTAGGCTCCAGGTCATTAAGACTGTTTTAACCACTAGGATACCAACCTAGAATAGTTGTTCTACTGAGAATAACAACCTCTAGATATTTGAAGGTTAGAGATCACCTAGCGTTTAAGCATTTTGCCAAACTAAGTATGCCGCGGCAAGTGGAGGAATTTGTACATGCTTGTCATAATGGAAAAGCTGTGTTAAAATGAAGTGTCATTGAGTAATAAGAATTTGAATGCAAGAGAGCTCAAGTAAGAAATGTCATGCGCCGTTGGATCAGGAGTGATTCATTCCTCTAGTCTGCATAATGTTCCTTTTCCATATGCCCACGCAGGAATGTAAAGATATGGAGAGAATGTTCACAAAGCCTTTTTTGTGGTTGTAAATTTGCTCTACACCTAATTTGTTCTGCCTGGTGACCTCACCCAAGCTCCCTTCCTTCTGATTTCTGGATTTTTTTTTTTTAAAAAGAATACCAGGTGTGAAGCCCACGCCCCCTCTACTGGTCAGCCACGTTTTGTCATAAATGTCTTCCTAAACAGGCATCCATCTATTCCTGTGAGTAAAGATAATTTGAGGCTTATTTTTAGTGTTTTGCTGTTTTTTTGGAGTGTAGCGCTGACAGTGAGAAAGAGAGAGGAGTATGCATTTTTTTTTTTTTTGGAATAAGACAGAATGTCACCAAGAACCTGGTTTGTAGGCAGATGCCATATAATGGCTTACACAGAATCTTTGGGGGCAGGATATCAGAGGTGTGGAGATCAGCTTGCCAGGCAGCATCTTCAGCCTTCACTTGACAGCTAAAAAATCAATTAATTTTCTGCAGCACCTCATCAAAGTAAATTTATTAGGTAATCTCCAGACAGATGTCTGTCATTTTGGGTGTGTCTCTACCGCATTTCCGCTGAAGATGGTGTTCTCTTCTTCCTGTGTTTACATGGCAAATCTATTCATCAGAGTAAAATGAGGACCTCTGAGGGCAGAAATCACATTTAATTTTCTGTCAGGTTCGGCCCCCAACTCCCAAATAGTGCACACCACATGGTAAATAACAATTATGCTACTTAGCTACCCTTCTCAAATTGCCATGTGAGGACACAAAACATCCCCATCCAGTAGCCCAAGGAAATCCAAGTCAGAAGGATGAAAGAGGACGCTGACCACTCCCCAGAAGACTAAGTACAGTCATTTCATTGTTGTGCCCATAATCACTATTCGACCAGAAACATTTCAGGATTTGTTGGTTCCAAGACGTTGAAGTTCAATAACCAAGTTCGGAAAACATCTATTAAAACGACTTCCCTTTTCCTCCACCCCTGAACCTCCAAATCCTTAAATACTAGAGAGGGCAAAACCATAGGATTCTTTTATTCTTTTCAACACACATAACCCTTGACCACAAAACCTTGACAGAAATACAGAAGCAACTCTGAGCGTCAAAAAGCAGACAGGAGGCAGCAGGGTCTGTCGGGGGAGGGGTAGCCAGGAGCCTGGGGTTCTGGTCTCAGCTCCACCAAGTCTAGCTCAGTAACCATTGGAGAATCACTTCCATTTAGTTCGTGCCTCAGTTTTCTAATGTGTAAAGTAGTGATAATCATACCTGCTATGTGTACTAACCTCCCTGGGTAGGTGATGCATGAGAAAGCGCTTTGTGAACTCCTTGTTCCGAGGTCCTCTTCTGTCTCTGTTCTGTTTGGAACAATGTCATACCCACTGTTTCTACTCCATTACACATCATATACTGGAGATTTCTGGCCGCCCTCACACTGGGGCAAGCGAGGTCTACCCTGGCTTTAGAGGGCCTTGCATGTCACAACTCCCCCTCACACCCCCCACCCCCAACACACAAATTAGTCAAGAGCACACGGCATTTACTAGGCATTCAGCATTGACATAGCATGGCTATAAGCCTAAATATCCACTTTCATAACTAACACTGATTAACCCCCAGAAAAATGTTTCTGCACATCTCTGGCCTTACGTCATCACAACAGGCAATGGCTGCCTCTGCCTTGGAATGCTGGAAAGGTCTGTGGGCTGTGCTTTTCCCAAAGACAGAGGCCCACACTGCTTTCAATTCTGGGGAGTATTTGGTGATGACAGTGCTTGGGCAAGAGGAAAGAGAAATGAATCATTTCTTCAACTTTCTCTTTCAACGAGAATGACAGCATTTTTCCATATCCAGTTACTGTTCTCCAATAGTGCTGAGTGTAAATTTGTTTTACTTCTTTTGTGTTTACAGATTTAGGGTGATTTCACAACTGTTGCATGTGGCGGCTGAGGAATATTTTGCAACTTCAGATAATTTATATCTCTCTTCAACTGTATATATGAAAGTCTTACAACATTTATGAAGTGTGATACCAATTCTTTGCACTGCGACTAGAAGGACAGTAAATTCTGAAGAATCATTTTCTTTTTATAAACCATTAGTCATGTATAATTAAATTTTCAAACACTGAATTTAAAATGTTTAATTTAAAATATTGACCTTTATTAATTTTAAATTACATTTTCCTTTTAATTTTAATAAAGGCTTTTGAATATTTTAGAAGAGACGTAACTTGTTTGACAATGTACTTTTTTATTTTTTACATTTTACTTTTAAAAATAATTTTACTTCTTTTTTTACATTTATTTTAGTTTACATTTATGATGAAAATATGACATTTTAATACAGTTTGAACACACTTACATTTCAGTTTTATATCATTATTGTCAGTAAAACACAAATCATGTGAATATCTTCATTATGACATCTTAATTAGTGATTTTACTAAAACAAAAGCAAGAAAAACAGTAGATACTCCATAAATATTGGTTGAGTGAGTAGATAAATTGCAATTTTAAAAAATATTAAACCACCTTTAAGAGTATGAATTCTGGTGGGGAGGGTATAGCTCAGTGGCAGAGTGCATACCTAGCATGCATGAGGTCCTGGGTTCAATCTCCAGTACCTCCACTAAATAAATAAATAAACTGAATTATCTCCCCCCAAACAAACAAGCAAGCAAACAAAACAAAAGTATGAACTCTACCTGAGAACACTAAAAATCTATTGTATGAATTTCTCAAATGGGGATTTTTCAAATTTTTCAAATGGGGATTTTTCAAATGGGGATATCAGAGAAGTTCCATGACTGAGGAGGGGGAGGGATTTCTCAAAGTCTTTCTTAAACATACTGCATCTTCTGGAATACAAACTTTCCCTTTAAGCTTTTATTTATATATGGAAAACAGAGTAGGTGTGAGATTTAAACAAATAAGATAAACATAGGACTTCGGAGAAATGTTTGTTTCCTAAAGATTGTGTTGAGCCACTATCCCAGGGCTGTAGATTTACACGCACGGGTGCTTGTGTGTGTGTGTGTGTGTGTGTGTGTGTCTAATGTGCTGTGCGCAGCTGGCACTCTTTCAGTCTGTGACTGGAAAAGTTTAAGAAGCACTGAAAGAGGTAATAAACAAATGATTATCGGACAAGATTAGTGTGCCTGGGGAGGGATTGTTGAAATCCTTTAAAAGTCCTTCATTTGAAGAGGAGTGAGGCATTATACCATGTTACCAGCTTGGTGGATTGTTTTTGTGTGTGGCACTAATGGGACCAAGTCATTCATTCTGTTCCAGTGGGCTGGCACACTGAGTTCTTCTACTCTGCTGAGATGGCCCAGTCTTGGTCAACCTGGTATGAGGCTGCTTGGCCATTAGCAAAAGGGAAGGACAGAGGACACAGCGCAACCTAACAGTGCTTTGAAAGAACAACTAAGTGGACGCCTTCAACTGAATGTGGGTGAGTACTGCTTCCGTCGTGCGGGTCTGAGTTCTTGCTTCCTCTGCGGCACTACGAAATCCTGAGTGAGCTCCAACCTCCTTTCTGTTCCTCTCTGCTCTATTTTCTCAGTTCTGCAACATGAGAGTGGTAACACCAGGAAGAGGAGGCAGAAAAAAAGAAACAAGAATATCAGGAGTTAGGTGACCTGGTCCTAGTTCTGCCGTGGGCACCAAGTAGTTAGGAAACTTGGCGCAAGTTTGTTGAACTTTGCTAGGCCCCCTTTCCCTCATTTATAAATGAGAGTTTTATAAATGATGATGATTTCTAAAATTCCTTCGAATTCTAATGTTCTGGATTATTTCTGAACACTTTCCTGCAAAGTTTTCCTTTTATTTTTGTAACTCCCCTAAAGTGGAGACTTAATGAAATTGAAAAAGAGGCTTAATCAGAAAGCTTTCAGGAACTCTGTTAGGGTCCATGAATTTCCAAGCTTTTAAAGATAGAAGGTTTCTACATGTAGTTCTGATTTTGAATTGGAAGCATCAATATGAATGCTTGATGTGCATTAAAACATTTGCCTAGATCTGTCAGTGGAAAAGGCTTAGAAATAGAGACTAAACCAGGAGGAATGAGCACCCCTAGCACCCAGACTATATATACTAGGTTTCTCTAGACTAATCAAGGCATGTAGTGGGTGCTGTGGTGTAGCACCCAGATCTCCCTTTCAGGGTGAAGGCCTCATTCTCCCAGTGCTGGAAACGTTGGCAGCTGCCGGCTCTCGGCTGAGTCACTATCTGGGCATTGCCCTAAACCAAGATTTCTCACCCTCAGTACTACTGACACTTTGGACTGGGTAAATCTGCATTATCTGCCCTGTGCGTTAGAAGATGTTCAGTAGAATCCCTGCTTTCCACCCACTAGATACTAATAGTTCTCCACTCTTGGTTGTGACAACTGTGTGTCCTTGTTGGGCAGGGGTGCAAAATGGCCTTGATTGAGAACCACCGCCCTAAAATGAAGAGAGCCACTTCACCCAAGGTTACACCCTTCTCCCCAGGGCCTTCTCCCCACTGGTTAATGTAGGTTATAAAAGTCAGGCTCTCTTGACTCAAAGCAAGACAGCTTGAAGGGCTAGACCATGTCTAGCACCCTCTGTGGGATTGGTTGTGGGTGCCCATTGTTCACCTCCCTCTACCCACTCCTAATTCTGTCACTGCCCAGCAGGTGCTGATTCTGAGGGCAGTCCCCAGTAAACTTTAGCATGGAAATATTTAACTCGGAGTCTTTCCTGGGGAAAGCAAACCTGAGGCAGGGTTTCTTGAAGGAATGGCTGATTCCTGGTCTGAAACAGGAAATATGCTAGATAAGCCTTGGAACACCTTCTGAGGTCAGAAAGCAAGGAAGCTGTCAAAGAGTACCAGGGTCATGTCAGAAGGATTCAGCAGGCAACTTGGATAAGCATTCATGGGTTAAGATGGTCAAATGTGAGCATCAGTAATGGGAGTCACTCAGTGAATTGATGCTTAACATTCATGATATAAAGACACGAAAGACCAAAGTTATTGGTTGCTTTGGATGGAGGATGCAAGGAACTACCTCTTTAATTTGAAAACTGATGAAGAAAAGAATTAACATTTTTCTGTTGTCCTTACATTATCTTTATCAGATATATACAGATATCTAGATCTATCTGTATCTATTTAGATAAATGATAAGGGAAAGATTAATAGAGAGGAAATGATGGAAATAAAACGTCACTGTTTTGCAGTCCCTGAAGAATTAATGACCTTAAGCCATAGTCATCAATGGCTGATCACTTTAGAGGCAGAAATCATGTACCCAGCAATCATGGACCTCCTGATACACAGCGGATTAGTCACCACTGCCGTGTAGTGGTCTTGTGGGAAGTTCAGGGGGCAGTCCTTAGGACAGCCCTCACTTCTGGCATCCATTGCAAGTTTGGGGATTCCTAAAACCACCCTTCGTTTTGGTAATTCTCTAGAAGGACTCACAGAATCCACCGCAAGGGTTTAGAGATTACCTTTCACAAATCAAAAGCCAGATCCCTGTGGGGCAGGATTAGATTTTTGACTACATGTCTTGCAAAACAAAACCCCAAACTAACCTACATTGAACTGCCTTTAGATGCAATTAACAATTTACAGGAAACATAAGGAACAGAGAACATGTTAAACGACAACTATACGGACGCAAATTCAGTTCGTGGGAAATTCTACAGACAATCAACCTGGCATTTTTGATGCAAGAAATTGCCAGGGGAAAAAAGGTATGGAAGAGGAGCCTATAGATTAAAGCACAAAAAGGCACGTCCCTCAGTTGCAATGTGTCTTGTCTGGACACAAATGGAGAAGCTGAAAATATTTACAAGACAATAAGATGTGTGAACACTGATCAGCTATTGATGGGATTAAGGAATTACTGGTAATTTTTGCCTTTGGTAATTGTATTATGGTCATGCATACAGAATAAAAAGAATCTTTATTTCGTAAAGACGCATACTGTAAGATTTACAGGTGAAATGATATGCCTGGAATTTACTTCAAAATAAGCTGGGGTGAATGAGTAGCGGGTACCGTTTTTGATGAAACAAGACTGTGTGTGGCAAGAAAGCAAAAAATATGGGTTGTGTTGGTTCATGTGTTCATTTTGGCCACTTTAAAGCAATGTAATGCAGGGCACAAGCCACCTTCACTGGGCCTTGTTTTCTGCTGAGGTGCTTGTGTACAACAAGCCGTTCTCAGTTCTCCAGCCCCCAGTTTTCTTTGGGCCTTTGAGAGAGCAGGAGTTGGTAGCTTTGGTTGCAGTTGGAACTAATATGCATAGCCGTTTACGGTGTACAGTCACTGAGACATATAACTGTGTATACAAGACGGTGAGTATATTTCATCTGTTTTTCAAGGAGAATGTTACAGTTTTATTAAGGTGATACATTTCATATGGATAAACATTATCTCATATTATTCTGTTAAGAACAATATGGGTTTTTTTTTAATTGAAGTATAGTCAGTTTCCACTGTCGTGTCAATTTCTGGCGTACAGCATGTTTCAGTCATACATGTACATACATTGATCTAAGGAGAAGATCAGTATGTTTTAAAGTTAAAATTAAAAGCTTGGTATTTGCCATTTAACTATATGTTTATTTTTGTATATCTAAATAAATGCTGAGATGGAATACTAAAATTGTTAAGCAAAGGGAGCTTACGGATGATGAAGAAGAGGAAATTAGGTGTTTGACAAGAGCACTGAGCTTCAAGTATTTAGTCTGCTCTGAACAAAAAATAGTACAAAGTTATTCTGTGCCTCATTAGCAGAGATTCCAGGGGTCACTAAACTAACGGAAGAGTCTGTTGACATTTTGTGAATTTTTTTGGCCACAAAACTAAATAACTTTAAACACAGCTTTAAACAAAAGTCTATTTCTGAAAAGGCTTCTAATACTAATAAGTTCCTAATCCTTACTGTTTCTTGCCAGCAGTTTCTTACATTTAGGCACCTGTGATTTATGCTCCCGTCTTGTGTCTTCTGACAGTTTTTTTATATTGACTTTTACAAGTTAAGTCCCCAGATTTCTAATAAGAAAACTGCTCAGATTTCTTTTAGAACCAAATTATTTTTGAGGTTTCTCAGACAGCTGCTGGATAGCACCAAAGATTTACTTTCTCATTTTGTTAAAAGGAGGGGTGTTAGAAATCATTGGGAACTCTTGGTATTCTCTGTACTGTGGGAGCTGTTTGCGAAGCCTGCGGGGGGCAGACAAGCTGCAGATCAACCTTCCCTGGGTCAACTGCATACAAGGCAGACAGGTAAGATGTTATTAATACTAAAATGAACGTGTTTCAGCAACTATGTTGTCTTCAGGATGGATAGACCGTACTGATGGTCATGTGCAAAGAGCAGTGTGGTAACTGTCAACAAAATGTATTCCCCTGTATCAGTTAGTTAGCATACACACTAAATGGGCTAAATTAAAAAGCCTGGAGATCTGTCAATGCCCTAATTCCTTACAAAATATTTATGCATTATGTCTCACTTGTCTTTTCGTAGGTACCGTTAGTTTCTATAGTACAGTAACCCTAGCCATTCAATCTTCTCATCAATATATGCTTTTTTTTGTCCCTTTTCCTTTACAATTGCCTAAAGGCTCCTGCAGTTACACTATAGACCAGTAATGGAGTCTTCTAGAAGAAACATTAAAAGAATCATCACTTCAGGGAAGGCCTGAAGCAGGTCCTCTTCACTGCTGACACTAAATGAATTAGATTCGCAGGTGGTGGCTTTCCAGAAGCTGATGTCACCACCAAGCACATGGCTGGATGATGTGACTGAGGCTTTCCAGGACTTTTCTCTAGTTTAAAAGCAGATGAATTTATGACAGTAGACGGACAATTATACCAAGATTGCAAAACAAGAAATTAATTATCTAGGACTGAAAGAAATTAAGATGAAAAATTTGCTTATGGCTAATGTTCTATATTCTATTAGGCAAGTAAGAACACTCCTGTCCAACCTGATTTGTCACTAATTCTCTATTTAACGAGCTAACTCTGTACAAAGTGGAACAAAACACTCTCTAAATGGTGTCTTATTGCAACTGGTCTCTCAGAGTTCAGAAAAAAAATTCATAAAAGATCTTAGGAAATGGATTATAAGCTAATAAATCAAGAGGAAAATCTAAGAAAAATGACTTTTTAAACTCACAAACATTTTATTTATTTAAAAAATTGAAATGTAATTGACATACAACATTAGTTTCAGATGTACAACACAATGGTTCAGTATTTGTGTATATTGTGAAATGATCACTAAGAAAAATGATTCTGAGGAAAAGAGTAACACATACTAATTGACTTCGCCTGTAAAACTACACAGCAATGATTACTATTCTGCAAAGTGCCATTTATTGCTTCCCTTTGCTTTTTCATGATCATGTCATTACTTACATAGGTTCAAAACAAATCTGTCTTTTTCCTACTGGGATATGATTGGATAAAAAAAAAATTGTAACAGAGACCATGCCAAAAATGTCATTCAAAAACCAGCCTCATTTAATGAGGTACAAGAAGCTCACTATTACGAAACAAAGACTACACTTCAATATGTGGAAACAGTGCCTACAAAATCCTCCCAGAAAACTGACCTTGTACCTGCTCTGTGGCGAGGGAAGTCTCAGCCTTGCAGGTAATACAGAATGCTGCTTCCTGCAGCCCAGGATACCGGCAGACTTGGAGTCTCAGAGAAAGGAGAACACCCCAGCTATACAGCTACTGCAGGTAAAGCTTGGAAGAGGCAAACTGGATGCCTTTTGTTCCTGGGCATAGAAAGTCCAGGTGGATGACAGCGATTTAAATACTCCTGAAACGCTGGTGTGATCAAAGAATGCTAGGGGCTTTATGAAGCCTCCAGACAGATGCTAAGTCTTCAAGCATTAGTATCACATGATGTTCGTTTTTTTTTTTTAAACCACACAATGAAGAAATCTTTGCATATTCCTCAACACCTCCTGGGGCTCCTGTGTAAGTTAAAACTAGCCAAATAGGAAAAACCCACCATGTTAATGATATGAATTAGAAAATTGTTCAACAAACCTGTATGGTCAAGTCTGTCTTCAGGGGCAGGAACTGGCAAAGCAAGCAGGAATGATACTTGCCCTGCTGCCCTCTTGGTTAGCACATCAGGTACCACTGTCACAACCACCCCCACCCCCAACCCCAAACAAACAAAAAAGAAACACTGGACATTTGGCATCCCTGAATAAACTAAAAATAAAAGGCAGGCACATTCTGTATAACACCAGCCTCTGAATGAAGACTCGCGCCCTCCGGGTAAGATGCTAACAACCTAATAAAAACCGCCCTATTCCTGACTTTTGCAATATTGCTGTCTACAGATCAGCAACAACCCTCGTGACATGATAATCCTGTGAGGAATAAACTGACTGTAAGCTTGGCAACTTCTCATTTTTCCCTCTAAATACCTGCTGTGTTCTTTGTTTGGAGAACCCCGTTGTTCTGACCGATGGTCCCCCTTGCAAAATAGTGAAAGTAAAAAGTCTTTTCTTCACGGTTCTGCGTCTTGGTTCTCCTTTCACAATCGGTAATTGTTGATGCTGGGCCAAAGGTACTTCAGGTCCTCTGACTCTCCTCTCTCATTTTGTGTCTGTCCTTAAATCTGCATAGCAAAAAAAAATTAAAATAATATAGAGCGACTCTATATACAGGATTGAAGAGAGATTGTTGGTCCTTTCCACGCTTCGTCTCATTTTAGCTAGTTTCCAAACTTGAAGGCTACTTGGAAGCTGTGTTCAATTTTTAAGCACATGCTTCTGGTAGAAATGACAAACCATCACAGTGATGGCCCTGGAGCTGGCAGCCTGGAACCAAGGAAAGCTATCTTTGTGGTTGTGAAGCTGGTGTTTTCTGGCCTCACTAGTGAGGTTAGGTTCCTGAATGTCAAACAAGAATGAAAAGGAGCCAGAGTTTCCGTATTACTTGCTGTGTTCAGTGTGCATGTCAAAAATCCATCCAAAAGCTATGGCAACTGAAAAATATTTGTTTTAATCAGTGTTTGGGAAACAAATGCTGGTATTTGGCTTCTTCAGCCTTGCTATTGGCAGACCCCATTCACAGTAAAGTCCTAGAGCACTCGTGTTGTTTTTTAAAGTCCCATATGGACTTCCTCTGGAAAACCTCTTAGCACACTTCGACATTTTTTGTTTCCTGGAGGTTCCTTTGGATTTGTCTGGCTCTGGTATCATGATCATTTACTATATTTCCCCTTGAAATATAGAAAGAACATACTTGTTACATTTTGTCATTTGTATATTGGACAAGTATCTATTGATCACCTACTGTGTACAAGGCTTCATTCTTGGCACTCTGGAAAGATATGAAAATCAATCAGATAAATATTGTGATCTGAAGGTACTTTCAGCCCAATCAGGAAGACAAGTGGTGACTCAGGCATTGAACTAGGTGCTGGGATGCAGACGTGAACATACAAAGTTCCTGACTCCATGTTGCTCCACGTAATTGGGATAGATTGAGTACGGAGGTCAGAGAAGGCCTTATGGAGAGAATAACTTTAAAGATGGAGTCATAAAGGACAAATTAGAGTTAGCCAGATTAAATGGAGTGGGATGGAAGGTGTCTTTTAAGGAGAGGGAACAGCAAATATGAGTAGGGGTCCTGGATAGGAAAAGGGCTGGTGGTGTTTCTTTGCAGGTCTACAATTCCAATCTGTCATGGGTCTCAAAGTGGACTGGACTCAGTCTAGAGACAGCATCATGGGAACCAAATAATTGTGGTCTTGTACATAAACAAGACTAGTAATGATATGTAATGAAATAAATATGCAGACCAGAATGCCCATGACCCAAGTATTTCTCTCCCCGTTGACAGATCTATGGGGAAAACGTAGTTATGCTAATTGAGGTTGCTCTGTAATCCTGACATCAGCACTGGACGTGTGCTGCCTGATTCAGTCTGTGAGTGCTGGTGCATGCGTCTCTGCATTATGGATGGAACTACCACTGGGGGTAGGTTAGCTGCATTTCAGGGCTTTGTCTCTTAAGTTGTGTTGCACATCCCACCTTGATCTCCATATTTTTCTCTGTGACTATTTCCTTTCTCTTCTTGGTGCTGGCCATTCAGGTTATGATTGTCATTTTCTTTTTATATATCCAGTCGATTGCGAAGTTTCTTATTAATCCTGCTGCCTTAAGTTCTCATGAATCTACCTATTTCTTTTAATTCCTACTGTCTCTGTAATCTCTTGCCTTTGTTATGAACGTTAACCTCCTAAGGGGTCACGCTGCCCCTCAGTTTTGTTTTCCTCCAATCTCTTCTTTAAACTATGGCCAGGATGAACTTTCTAAAGTAAAAATCTGATCATGTGATATTCCTTTTAAAAACCCTTGACTCTGTCCCCATAGCCTTTGGGATTAAATCAGTTAGGGTCTTGATAGGAATTTACCCCAGATGGTTTGATGGAAGAGAGTTAAATGAAAGAATTACTTGCAAATGAACAGATAGGGTTAAGGAAGCAAACAAGGGATGGGAAGGCACCCAGAGTATAGCCGCAGGAGGAAGCTGTTACCCCTCCCAGGGCTGAAGGGACAAGAAGGTGCAGAGTTATTGGTTTGCAGTGAGAGCTAGGGGTGGGCGGCAACTGGTGGAACTTTAACTGCAGAGGGCACAAGTACCACTGTAGATAAGACACCGAAGCAAGAAGGGAGTGGGGAGGAAATGTCACGATCCTTCCTCCCTCCTGCCCACAGATGACCCACTGAAGATCCCCATTGTCCAAATTGGGAAAGCGGCTGGCAAGGAGCTGGGGTGATGCAGCCTGCAGTGGTCAGCTTGCTGGGGCACAGGGGGAGAACATGGATCTGGGCTGGGTCGGGGTGAGATAATGGCAAATGATGAATAATCAGCACAGGGATTCATAAAAATAGTATCTAGCTTGCTAAACAGTTTTATTACGAGGCTTAAATAAAGAGACATTTGTGAAAATAGGTTCTTAGTGTATTTACAGAGTGGGTGCTCAGTGAATTACTATCCTATCCTGTTATGAATCCGAGCCCCTGGAAGAGACTGGAGATCAGCTGAATGGTTATTAAACTAGTTCTAGTGTTCTCTCCGCGCCACTTTATTATTATTACTTCCTATAAGGAGAAACTCAGTGGGGTGTCTGAGCCTCTCCCTTATACCCCAAAAGAAGAACTTTCTTTCTTTCTTTCTTTTTAACATTTTTTATTGATTTATAATCATTTTACAACGTTGTATCAAATTCCAGTGTAGAGCACAATTTTTCAGTTATACGTGAACATGTGTATATTCATTGTCACATTTCTTTCTCATCAGAACTGGAAACCTGTGATTCTTTTCCCCTCTCCTTCTTTTTATTTAAAAAATTTTTTAATGGTAACTTTCAAACATACATAAAAATAGAATAATACAGTGAACCTCCCTGTGTCTCTCACTCACAATAAGAAACTACCAACCGTGTGCTAATCTTGTTTCATTCACTCCTCTTTTTTCTTGTTGACATATTTTTAAACAAATCCTAGAAATTAGTTCATTTTACTGTACATCTCTTTAACCCATAAGTCCTTTCATCTTTCACAAAACCACTGTGCAATTATTACTTCTAATGAAAACAGAGAAAATCTTTAATTTTATCTAATGCTCAGTCCATTTTCAATTTTTTTCAGCTGTCTCAAGATGTGGTTAGTTGGTTTATTTCAGCAACTAAACAAGGCCCCAATGTCTATAATTCCTTTTCATTAAAATTCCAGTCCAAGGTATTACCTCGCAGGTACTTCTGTGTTCTCCTATGTCCTGTCTATGATGCACCCAGAAGAGGCAGCTCCAAATTCCCCGAGCTGCCAGCAGCCCTCCAGCCCTCCCAGTGGGGCTGAGTCTCTACCTTGAGTCTGGGGAAGGGATGATCTGGGGTGAGTTATCTGCCAAGTGTGACAACTTGCAAGGCTGTCCATACCAGCTCAATTATTGAAGACTCTTTTATTCACTGCCTCCGGGGTAGCGCTGGGGGTGAAATGGCATAGGGTGGGGGGCTGGGGGCAATTCCTCAGCCTTGATCCTACCTAGCTGATTTTGACCTTTAACAAAATTGGCTGTTACAGAGTCTAGATCTACCACCAAGCCCCTTTTGCCCCCTTTCCTTTCCCAGCTGTTATCCAAGGAAAATGGCTAAAATTCATGCACTGAGATAAAAGGGATATTACAGATTATTAAATCCAACCTTCCAACCCCGGGAGGCCCCCTCTGGTAAGAACTAACACCTTTACAGCATGTGGCTGAGGCTCAAAACCGCAGGGTTCCAAATTCTGTCCCCTTTAGGGAGTCATGTGGCCTCTGTGCGAGCTTGGTTGGAGAACGAAGACCTTACAATTCTCATTGTTAGCGAGTATCCT